TATTCCGGGAAGGGCCTACAGGGTGTTTAGGGTCTCACTGCTGTGGAGGACCACCTGTGCAGCTCTTCTTGAAAGAAGAGTGACTATCTCCATTTTGACTCAGCCTGACCCTATTTCCTCGTATTGTTATGTACAGAGCTGGCTAGGACTTGTGTTTATCCTTCAGTTGGCCTTAAGCAATGTATATTGGTCTAGCTGAGGTGCTAGTGATAGTTTTTGAAGGTGGTGCCCGTGTTTCCCTAGTAACCAACACCTGCTGCTCTTTAATGTGAGCCTGGTCCAGACAGGACGGTAGAGCTAATGCTCCGCGGTGCCAGCTGGGATTGAGCCTCGAGATAGAGGCTGTGACTTCCTGGGGTTTGAAAGACTACGTCAAAGCTGAAGCAACAGACTTACCAAAACATTAGATACTATATAGTGCAGATTACTCTCTCTCTCTCTCTCTCTCTCTCTCTCTCTCTCTCTCTCTCTCTCTGCATATTGGCAGAGTTAAATGTAGGTGACCCACCTAGCTCAGCTCACAATGATCACCTACTTCCCACAATTCTCAGTCAATCCTCCTCAAGCCAATCCCCTACTGAATAAAAACCAGGTGAGGCCCTGGGTCGCTCTGTTGGTTCCAGAAAACCATCTTCGTGGCTGGACTTAGAGCCCCTTGACTCCCCAATGATTGAAAATATAATTTAGCGTCTTTATTTTCACCGTGGGTTGCATTGTAAGTGGTAGATTGGAATCAACTTGATGGGATTCCAATAACATAACTTTGGGATTACAAATATTGGCTTCTTGGACCAAGATGAGGACCTGGAAGTGTCTCCTACACACTACTAGATCAGACTTGTAGTGATCCACCTGTTCACAGCCTCCCAAGAACTAGGATTGCAGGCCTGTGCCTCCATGCCCAGTCTCAATTGCCATTTTAGCAGGCCCCAGGAGTGGGGCCGGCACAGCAGGTCTGAGGATCGAATCCCAGCCCCTGAGAGGGAAAAGAATTTAATATACAGCTAAGGAAGACATGCAGAACCTCAAATAGGCTTGGTTGGAAAACAACTTCTGCACAAGGAACCATACTTAAAACCCCAGAAGTCCAACAGAAGAACAGAATCTTCAAAGCAGTGAGAGAAAAGCAACAATTCACCTATGAAGGAAAACCAGTTATAATCACAATAGAATCCTCAACACAAACATTAAAGCCCAGGAGAGGTTGGAACAAAGCGTTTCAATCCCTAAAAGAAAACAACCACTGAACCAGGCTGATACATGCTGCAAGCTAATGGAGAAAAGCCTTCATTCATCTTCAGCTTTGCTTCTCAGCACAGCCCGGGGGGTTCCCATCCGAGCCCCTCAGTGCTAGTTGAACTAAAACAGGTAGGGCCCTGCTGGCTAAGCAGATGGGGCTGAACCTTGTCATTTCTTCTCAAGTCCTAAGAACAGGCTTGGGGTGGCCACCTGGAGGGCCCAGAACAGGATCAATATGAAAAAGAGAATCCCATACAGGAGCTTGGCATCCTCAAGCTCTGCCTTAGTGTCTGTGTTGGAGGAGAGGCAGACCACCAGGGCCCCCACCTCTGGAGCAGCTACAAGCCAGACCCCTGTGTTTTCCAGTATTAGATACACTGTCAGATTCTTTGGTACCAGAAGTGATGAGACAATTTCTCTCCACTGCACAGTTGGTGGCGCCAAGGCAAAAGAAATCCTGGAGAAAAGTCTAATGGTGCAAGAGTATGAATGAAGGAAAAATCACTCCTGCAATACTTGAAACTTTGGTTTCTGTGATCCAGGAACACATCAATCTGGGCATCAGCTAAGACCTGAACACTGGTATCTCTGGCCTGGACTTTTGTGTGGTGATGGGCAGGCCAGGCTCCGGCATCACAGACGGGAAGCGCCGGGCAAGGACATTTGAGCCAAACACAGCCAAGAGGAGGCCATGCACCGGTTTAAGCAGAAGTAGGGTGCAATCCAAACCAGCACTCCCAAGAATTCCACAGGCTAGCCTAGAAAGAGACAAAGAAGTTTAACGATTACAACAGGTCTAATATCATTGCTACATGTCTCTCATAAAATTATGGAAAATTAATAAATAAATAAAATGTAAAAAAAAGGTCTAATAGAATAAGTACACCATGTGGGATGAACAGTTAAGAACAAAGGAAAGACAAACAGCAACAGGAATATAAGGTAATGACAGAAACAAATCAATACCTTTCAGTACTAACTTTCATTGTGAATGGTCTCGGGCTGGGGAGATGGCTCAGTGGAATAAGCGCTTCCCTGGCAAGTGCAAGGGCCTGAGTTCGATCCCCATTTCTGCCAAAAAAAAAAACCAAAAAGCAAAAAAAAAAAACATAAATCATTGTGAATGATCTTGACGGGAATTCTCTCCACGGGGAGAATGAAGAGAGAGACCTCCATGGAAAAATGCACCAGTGGAACAAAGCAGTGGACACCATGGGAGTGGTGGTTGGTGAGTTTTTCAGGCTCCGACATCCACCAGGACCACCAGCAGAAGGCAATTGGCCAGTGGCCATCATGGAGAGGGGCCAACTGAGCTCAGACCTCAGAGCAGCTACAGAGCCAACTGTCTCCATCTTGGGGCTCCCAGGGTCAAGGTGAGGCAGAACTGAGTTCAAGTCAGCAGGAGGTCAGGGAGCCAAGATTAAGCTGTCAGGAGGCACATAAAGTATTGTAGGCTCAAAAAAAAAAAAAAAATTTTTTTTATTTCATGGCCAGGAAGATAGTGCCATGTCTTAAGTGCTTGCCTGGCAAACACAAGATCCTGAGTTTAATCCCTGGTACCAAAAAAAAAAAAAAAAAAAAAAAAAGGAGTATTGCAGGCTGAACAAATCAGGTAATCAGGTTCCAGTGTCATAGTCAGATACCATCCTGAACTTCAGTGGAACTAAAGGTTCAGGCTCCTGGGATTGTCCAGTACCCTGCTATGAAGCTACAGCTGCTTTTTTTCTGAGTTTTCAGGCTACCTCATGGGTTTTTTGTTTTGTTTTGTTTTGTTTTTTAGCAGAACCAGGGATTGAACTCAGGCCCTTGCGCTTGCTAGGGAAGCGCTTATTCCACTGAGCCGTCTCCCCGGCCCCTTACAGCTGCTTTTTGGAGATTAATCAACTCAGATCTGAACTCTATCAGCCTATGTTGTATTACAACAGCCAAGACAAACTTTATTTTT